AAATACATGGCAATGAGGAAAAATATTTGAAAAAAATAATAATTTTCCCCAAAAATTTAATAGTTAAGTAATGGTAGAAAAGAAACAAAAGCAAGTTGTTTAAGTATACAGCCATGCTGCATGTTTCCACTTACATATCTTTTGTTCACTTACATATGACTGGGTGGGGAAATCCTAAAGCATGCAATAGAGAATTGGCTCAGGCTTGCCAAAACTATCAACAGAAGCACCCCCTCAAGCAGATGAGCATGAATACCAAGAAGGTTTTAATAATGAAGCAGGTAAGTAGCCATTAAATTTTTGGGATTAAGCCTTGTGTGTTCTAAACATTCACTTTTACTTTCTAAAGAATGGCGTATACCGGTATTCACAAAGTCATGCAGAAACTAGCCATACTTTGAAGCCCATACATTACAGAAGAATCAACGTTTTTTTCAACTATTCAGATGTTTGCCAGTAAAATTATATTACTACAAGCCAAGATAATAAACAACAAATTTATTGTTCTGCAAAGAACACCACCACATGAACCCTCAGGAGTGTGAACATATTCAATTGTCTTGAGTACTTAATATATTACTGCAAGCCAAGATAATAAACAAATTTATTGTTCTGCAAAGAACACCACCACATGAACCCTCAGGAGTGTGAACATATTCAATTGTCTTGAGTACTTAAAGATTTACTCAAAAGACTATTGGGAAGTTCACTCTTTTTTTTTTTTTTTCCCCATAAGCCTTTTAGTTAACTTTTCTTGCAAAAATATTTTCTCTTTGTATATCTCAGTTGTGGCTTGGCAGAAACACTGCAGCCTCAGTTTTCCTGAAATACTTTCCCATTGGTAAGATCATTTTGCCTTAGTGCTTTTGCTCATGTCCAAGAGGAAGCAGAGTTTATGTTAGTTCTTTTAATAAATTAAAGGCTTTTTTTCTCCTAATTATTTGCAGCCTTCAGAACACTTGAGTGTCTAATGTATCTGCTGTGTGGATAATAGCAATGATGAACTCAGGCTCTTTTTCCCTTGAGAACTGGGATAAACTACAGTGGATTATACACAGTATTTTAAATTTAAGGCTTCAGGAAATGACAAAGGTGATTCTTTGCTTCAAGTGCAAAGTACAGAGTTATAAGGCTTCAAAGAATAGCATCTTCAATTGAATTACAAATTCCATGCCTCCAAGTAAAGATCCTAAGTCACTGGAACAGTCAAAGCTTTCATGAAAACAAATGCAATATTCATCCTACTTTAATCCTTCAATTTCTTTCAAAAAAAGGAGAAGGGACTGTGTCAAGGTTTGTCCATCAAGCTGAAACTTTTACTCAGTATGTCTTAGTTCCTGCTTTCACTGTAAGTTTATCTTTATTCTGTTATTTCATAAAATATTCTATATTAATCATGAGCGATTTATTAAATTGTCCCCAAGTCCCAAGATTTTGCTCTGGCAGTGTTAATAGATCGTATATGGAGGGAGTAAAATAGATGTTATATGGAAATAGCATTTCCTTATCTGCAAACTCAACATCTACCTGAATGAGGACAAACAATTTTTCAGGAGAAAGTTTTGTCAAGCATGAATATCCAACAAGCAGAAGCAATCTGCATAAAGCTACCGGATTTGCATCCACTATGGCTCACCTCACTGTCCACTCTAACAACAGCAAAAAAAAGAGTCTAAAAATAATACCTGTATCATCCCTGTAGAGCAAACATTTATCTTTTCTTCTTTTAAATAAATTACTTAGAAGATGAAGGGAAATCTCACTACCTGATTCAGTAGAACTGTGATCTTCAAAGCTTTATTGTCCTTATGCTAAAATTAGCTGGCCAAAGAAATGTTAACTAACATACTTTAAGGTGTTTTCCAATTGCTTTCTCATATATAACTATGTTCCACAAGCTTCTTCCAGTGCATGTGTTTCAAAACTGGTGAAAAAAATAACACCTTTTATTTTATAAAGAAAATCAGTGGATATTAAATTCCTCCTTTAAATCAAAGAATCAAAACTCCTAAGCATATTTTCTAGTCTAGAAGGCAATGGAGAAGCCAAAAAATTCATACCATTACAAGACAGAAATTTGTTTTCCTTCATTTTCATCTTTTAAGTGTTTTGTAGATACACAACGGTGCTCTAGTTTTTAAAATAGGTATTTCCCATCGAGTTTATCAACTCTTGCCCCAGACATACAAGTGTCCTTTTCGCTCACGGTTCATCTAGTTTTACTTCTCAGTGTTTTACATTAATGTGCGTCTCCTCTGTTCTTATCTTACACCCATTTGACAAATTCTTTTTCTTAAGGCCACGGTCCTAGGTTCTTGGTTATGAATCTCAGTGCCTGCTGATATTGCACCAGCTTCCACTACCAAATTTACAATTGTCTTGGCCTCTTGTTTGGCTTCCAAATTAGGGGTCTCAATTTCTTCTGCTTTGTTCTCATTCAACTCTAATACAGACCAAAATGTATTTAAAGAGCAGAGATTATAAAGTGGGGTTGTACCTCAAAGAAAATGATAAAATTTTGATGGTCTCCATTTTGTGCATTAACAGTTTTTCCATTAATTATTCCTAGAGTTAGTTATGGGTGCCATGACCAGAAGCCATTCTGCCTCAACCATTTGCAGAAGACTCTACACTAACCCTTTCCGATCTTTCTCTTTCAATTTTTTAGACTTACAGTATTAGTGATGGAAAATTACTTCTCTTCGAAAGGAAAGTTAACTTCTTTCTTTTATTTCAAATCAGTAAAGCAAATCTCTTCAAATTAATTTACAGCAGAATAAAATAAAATTTTAATCTAGGTTTCTGACTATTACTAGTGTGATAGAAGACTAAAAATTAAAAAGATAAAGTAGTAGATATAAAAATATCTTTTCATTCTCACACACAGATTATTTCCTCTGGTGATAAATTGAAAAAGATAAACTAAGAGAGGTTTTGTTAAAAACAAGTCAGACTTCTCTTTCCTAGTATCAGGATCCAAAATCATGCATTAGTCAAAAAAACTTCTCTTTCTTGAAATAACAGTTGCTCTTAAAGGTCTTTTCATTTGTCTCATACCAAAAGATTATTTTGCATGTTTAGTCACATTCAACTATACTCAGTTGTTTCATTACTTGGTACTAAACATAATAGCAGTATCAGAAGACAATTTTAAAGGAGGAAGAATAAAGAATTACACAGCACAGCATAAAGAATTAAATGAGGCAAATGTTACCCGGCCACAATTTCACATTTCATTGTCTAAAATGTTAGACTCTATGCTTTACTTTTGGCCATTACAGAGCTGACTTGACATTATGTTGTCTAAACAATAATTGCAAGGAAGTCAACATTGCAGTTATAGCCCTCAAAAGAGAAATCTTATAGTGAAAAAATATAAGGAGGAACCAATTCTGAGTGCAAGGCTCTACTCAGAAAAAAACAAACTTCCACATAGTGGAAGCTGTCCCTGCCCATGGCAGGGAGGTTAGAACTAGATGGTCTTTTAAGGTCCCTTCCAACACAAACCATTCTATGATTTTATGATACAAGCTGCCTGTAGTCCCAAGTGGTTTTTATTGCTAAACCAAAGTCACATCTGACACCGTATATAAGCTATCAGTTGGCACATTAGCTCTGCAGGACTTGTTTTGTTGTCAAACAGGGAATTTTGGTACTTGTCTATGTTTATAGTAATAACGGCCTAAAGGAGGCAGGCAAGTTTCTTGGCAGAGGTAACAAGTGAAAATTTTTGCAAGACAAATTTCTACTTGAAAGTCCATTCTCCCCAGAGAATTTGTACTCATCAATCAGAAAATAAAGAGTGCAACTTTAAATACACTATACATTTATGTGAGAGAATTTTGGAAACCTCAAGAAAAAAATGCGTTTTCCTTAACTGAAAATAAGACAGGTATTCCTCTTAACAGCAAAGTTGTCAGAGCTATTCAGTATATGACCATGTAACTACATCAAAAGCAAGATATTTAGAGGAGAAGAAATCACAACTCCAATACCTCAGTGCTACTCACTGTCACAAGTACACCACTAGATACCCCAACACTATCAACTACTTGATCATATAGCAGCTTGCTAAAATACCTGTCCTTTGAAAGCACTGAATCTCTTCCTCAGTAAAGTACTGGTAATCTCATCTATTTAAGACTTTGAAAGAATACATCCATCAATATTAAGCTACTTTTAATATGATCTTTCAACTTCAAAGGTAGTATCAACATGAAGAAACTGTGGCAGAAAACTACACAGGGAAGGTAAACCTACCCAAGGTTTCTTTCACCAAGAAATCAGTAAATTTAAAGACTCCTGAGTATTTCCAGCATTGGACACTACAAAATTCAACTTTTGGAAGAGTAATTTAACTGCTATTATATTTAATTTGTAACTTCTACAATTGTTAAAAGGAATTTTGGGAATGTCCCTCTCAACTTGTGTTCAGATGTACAATCATCCTCAGAGAAGCACCTCTCTATACAGTAACTCTAGAAGCATTACTGGTTCATTACCAGTTTAGATTTCCAATTTTCATAACCACCTCTTTATTTTGTACCTGTTCTATTTTTTGTCTCAGAAAAATATCTTTTACTAAGAGAGACAATGGAATTCCAGCACAATAGAAACAAATGCAACGTCTTTTCCATAGGTATAAAAAACAAAGTCACCTGAACTGTCTGCAACACAAATACCAGTCTCTGAGCTTGTCATCTTGGTCTCCTTTTGAAGTCAGTCGACAAAATCAGGCACTGACAGGGCATGGTTCATCTAATTTTAATACACCTACCTGGAAAGGTCACAGGAATTTTGTTCTGAATGTGCCAACTTCTCTCCATACACATGGTCTAGATGAAGATAAACTAGTAATATCACTGTGCACTGCAAGTATCAACTAGATGTAGTGCCGAATAACAGCTGTCACAGAAAAATCTACCACAACACTGGGAAGACATTCAAAAGACAAAATAAAATATGCAACGTAGGTCCATGTAAGGGTAAAATATACTAACTTGATTATGCTTTCTTTGTTCTTGCATGGCTTCCCAAACAGCCTGGGCAATATTCTCTTTATGTCTGTCACGTTCTGCTTCCCACATTTTTCTTTCTTCTGCATGAATCTTCTCCATATTTCTTCTCTCCTCCTCTACTGCTTTCAGAACAGCCTCCTGCATGACTTCTTTTTCAGCCTTTGAAACAAATCAAGCACAAATAAATGATGAAGATACCCAATGTGGGCACAAAACTCATTATTACTTCTTGTAACGAGATCTATGAGCTGACAACATATGGGATGTGAATATTTTCCCTTTTGAACTATAAGACTAAATTTATCTTAAGCTGCTACCAAGCAGGTGTTACCATTGGAAAATGACATTATAATAACAGAAAGAAAAAGGAAGTTACAAGCAAGGTTCTTAAATTCTCACCTACTGAAAACACAATATATCTAACTAGTTTGCTTAATGCAAACGCAAGAAACATACAGACGATACCACCTAAGAGTTGGTACGTGATATTCCCACACATGCGATACTCCTGCTCTTAGCTAGACATACCCAAAAACTAAACCAGTCTGAGCACTTTCTCTGAGAAGTAGCCAATACATAATGAAAACAAGCGTCTTCCCTCCTTAGGTATGCATTCTACAAGAAGTATGGGTTTTTTTTTTTCACCTCAATCTTTCTATTCAACCATCATATTAAATCATCAGAAGACACACACTGAATCTGAAGGAACAAGGACAGCTCCACACATGCTGAGCCACACTTATCAGCAACACAATCATTGCACAATATCTGCAAATAAGTAATGGCAGGCTGAAGTTCAAAATAAAAGACAGACTGAAAACCCACACCTACACACCCCTCAACTACAATAAGCATACAGGTCATTCCAATGCCCTTTGGTGGTGGTTATGGAACTGGTCAATTGAAGTTATAAATGGCAAATACCTAGTGTGCATATGCCACATCTGAAGATAATACAGGAAACGGTAACAGCATAACCAACAGCACTGGGTAACATACATCACTAGTTTTCCCAGATCATTATATGCAACTGAAATTTTGTATTGGATTCTACATCAATATTAGAAAGGAAACATAGGTCAACATTTACAAAATTACTGTCCTAACCGCAATGAACTTAATAATGAAATAGACTGAAGAAATCAATTTTAAAAAGTGAATACTCACCTTTATTCAAACATATACCAAATAACTGAAAAGCTGTTAAAACGTCCAAGTGCCTATAATATTTATAAAATACATCTGTCCTCACTGAAAATGACCATATTTAACAAAAGTTAAACAGGACACAATGCTAATTGTCTTACTCAGATCATCAGTGGACCCTGCTACCTAGCCCTTCAACACAAGATTTTTTGATGTTGTTTACTGAAAGACCATGAAACTAGATCAATGAATGACAGAATCATAGAATGGTTTAGGTTGGAAGGGACCTTAAAGATCATCTAGTTCCTGCCATGGGCAGGGACACTAGAATATTTAGGTAACCCCAACAACTGAACTTAATATTGTGACTTCTTGATATAAACTAATTCAGAGGCTATCTTATAGAGGTAAGTTACACAGAACATCTGTATTAAGGCATAGCATATAGCAGATATGTTCAATATTTATAGAACTAGCTTCTTTTAAACACAGATGACAATATAGTTTGACCAATTTAGTTATGAAATAAGAATGAGCTGCTGATCTTGGCATTTGTAAAGACACACATGGAATCCACATTGAATGTCTACTACTTAACAAAAGATACCTTTGCAGCAGCTGCCACAGCCTCCTTACTTCTTTGTCTTTCTTCATCCAAACATTTGTCAAGGACTTCCTGTAAATGTTATGAAAAATTAAACTACAATACACAATAGAGGAGTGTCTAAAATAATTTCAAATAGTTAAAATACTTCAGAAAGCTTCTTGTTCCTGTCAATGATTGTGGCAGGATCATTCCCAATAAACTCCATGGTGAAGATCAGACCCCTTTTTTTGTACCTTGTGTATTTTCGACTGCTGCATTAAAGCTTCTTCTATCTTTTCTGTTAACACTTCCTTCTCTGCTTCCAAAATGTTGAGAAGTCGCTGATGCTATTGGGAGAAAACATCTGTATTATTGTAACCACAGACTGCTAGTAAAACAGACACAAAAACTCATTCAAATCACAGGTTTGTCAGTTACTTTCACAATAACTTAAAATGCAGACACAGTTAAATGACAGCACTCCTTTAACCAACTTCATGACACGAAAAAAAACACAAACCCAAAAAACCAATAATAAGAAATATTTACCTTCCTGATTATCTAATATTAAACTCTCAGTATGAAGAGTATTAAGAAAGAAGAAAAAAAAATCAGTCTATAAAATCAGCACTCACAAACTTTATAAAGATGGCCTAACACCACACTTTAAACATTTCATTTGAACAGCTGTGGAATTTAAATTATGCTTGTAATACCTCTCAGTTATAGGTATAGAAGGCAGAAGCCAAATGTATTTTTTTCAACCATTTGTGATACCATGAACCTTGACAGTCAGGAAATGACAGCAAAGGGGAATGTTGCTTTCTCCTAATTTTCTTGCAATCCAAAACATTTTTTTCAGGGAGAAAAAGAACAGTGAAATAAAGTGGCCAAGTAGCCTGTATGTAGACATATAATCTGTCACTGTTCTTAATCACAACCCATTTACCTGCTTTTCACTTAACCAAGTACAGCACTTAAAATACGTGGGTTTGGTCTGTAAGACATAAGCTTTTCTCCAAAATTAAAAGTTATTACTGGAAATTACTGATGTTGGGTATTTGTCATGAGATAATTGCTAGCAAATTTTACACTTTCTTACATGTTATTTTAGACATGATATAACCTTGTAGTATCAATACATAATAATATTTTACAAGATTACCAAAAGTGTAAAAGTGTAATAGTAGTGTTTTATAACTAATAAAAGTGTACGTAAGGAACATAACGTTTTTCTTACACAAATACTTATGCAGGCAAATATCCTCGTCAACATTTTTAAGGAACAGTAATTTTTGTTTCATAAATTTTATTATGTTTTAATTATAAGTGTCCCTAATAGCAACTAGAAATACATTACTAAACTGCAGGACTACGTTCTGAAAAATATCTTTTAATATGAAGAATAGAATAAAAAAAAATCTATATTGCTTTATAAAATAAAACACCTATTTGCCCTTCCAGTATAAACATATAAAGAGGCATTTCCTTGTGAATTTACTTAAAATAGATCTGAATGGAGCAGACATATTCTAATGGAAAACACCTGTGGAAGGAGTGGTGAAATTCACATCATGGTTATTCTTAATGATGTGTAACTTTTCTTGTGGACTCAGTATTTTCAGACATTAGCTTTTAACTATCAGGGCACTTACAGAAATTATTTTTTCCCAGTAACTCAAAGGTGAAACAATAAATGGATTTTATTAGTTAAATGATCTCCATGACTATTCACTTCACTGACTGCTCAGAGTACAAATCTGTTACTTCCTTTGCATTTGAAAGAATGACACAATAGAAGACAAACATATGCAAATCTTTCATCAGATATATTCTACAAATCAAAGTTTATTAAAGTCAATCAAAAGACTGAAACTTTATTTGCTTCAGTCAAGAATTAGCAGGGGACTTTCTAAGAAGAGCTTGTTAGAGACAACCAGTTTTAAAACACCTACTACAGAATGGCAGTCAATTTGCTCAGCAAGGTTCCAGTTTCTAGTGTAAGAGCTGTAAGCATTTAATTCCAGTTTCGCTCTGATTATCAGACTTCTAGGCTAGATATGAAGACTACGTATGCATATTTCAAGTTGCCGTAATAGGCCAGCTACCAGATGTATTTTGCAACATTCTTCACGGAACTAGAATTTTCAGCCTTTAAACCTCAGGGCAGTTTTAGAAATTTTATTTAACACATATGCATAAGTCTAGATTCAAACCCACCCTGGAAGTGCTGAAACAATGCAGATATTTGCCTTAATACAATATAGAACATGTATACATGGCCAATGGAGCCAACTAATGTCTATTCTCCCTGCAGACAAAACACTTTCACACCTTCTGCATGACCCCAACCTCACCACACAGCAGTTTACTTTTCATAAATCTGTGGTACACCTAGAATCCTGAAAAATAATCAGGACCAAAACCTTTTTGTCATATGGAAACCCAAAAAGTTCTGATCTTTAATGCAGCTCTGAACTGAAAATATCTCTCCTTCACGGCAAAGAAGAGTGCACAAGTAAATCCAGAGAACAATTCTTGGTAAAAAAAATAAAACGTTACTCCAGTTGGTTGTTAAAGTAATAGTTTAACAACACCTGGAAATAAAAATTCCATGGAGATACAGCATACCAAACTAAAGGAAACATAGACAGCAGTACAAAATAGATCAGCTTGCTTCTGGCAGCAGAAAGGGAAATCTTTAAAATACAATCTACTGCTTTGGCTTGCCACTTTACCTTCAAAAAGATTGCCTAATAAGTCAATAATTACCATAAAAATTAAGGATGCTGTGACTGCTATTTGCAGTATTATTACTTTTATTTGAGCTTAGGATCTCATATTTCCTTGGTAGATCACACAATCTATATGGTATTACATTGAGTTTTATTGAATTCACAGAAATTCAGTTAAGAATTGTATTAAGAATTGTATCTGTGTTTAAATACACACTAGTTCCTATTTTTCAAGATACTATAGGTAACTATTTGTAATCACATTTAGAATGCTTCCAAAATAAAAGCTAATGACGTCTGGCATATTTCAATGCAACTTCTTTTACGTTACATAGCATCCCCATTTCTCATGGAAATGTAGAATTTATAATTTCAAGATTGAAAGTCTCTTGTGAACAGCTTGGCATGTCCTTTCCTATTATAATGTAAATGTTTATTCATGTGGAATAATCCTTCCATAAATGGTTACCTTCATATCTGAACTTCCAAAAGTTCCTATGTCATCACAAATGTTGCAACAGCTGTCCATACAACCCAGTAGAGTAAATTCTCTTGTACTAGTCCAAGAGAAATAACTTGAAGAAATGTTTATTTGGCTTCAGAATTTGTATTTGGCCAAACAGTTTTCTTTTTCAGAGAGAATGTACCTTAAGCTATTAAATTACATAAACTATATGAAAAGAAGCAAGTAACTGGAAACAGACAAAGCAGAATAAAATATTATGTTAACTGCTTCTCCCTGAAACAGGTCCTGAGTCCAGAAAGCCTATATTGCATAGTTAGCATAGATACAACAAGGACGGAATTCCCATTCTGCATGTAATTAATGAGGAATTTAATTACTTATCAAGAACTTCTATTTTTTCCAAGGTACTGGGCCCCACAGGAATATTAGGCCCCATACAGAGCCATGGAATCTCCATGAAAGCTGTCCTTATTAAAATGATGTAAAGCAAGCTCAATGGTATTATTAATCCGTTTTATAGGAAAGAATGCACCATCTTGCCATCTGAATTCCTTTTTACAGAGACAGATCTTTCAAAGGCATACTTGGGTATCTAGATTATGCATAACACTTGAGGAGAAAATGCAGGAAGTTATGGATAGTGAAGGTTCCTGTGCATTCCCTATTCTGACAGAGATCGAGGAAATTTTAGCTATTTCTGTATAATAAGAGTATTTTGACAGACTTTGGAAAAAAAAGCAGCAATGCAAAGGAAATGATTAATGAATGTATGAATAGAATTCCAAGCTGTTAGTTTAAATGCCTCTGCACAGCATGCTATTCTAACCACTCTGGAACTAGTTTTTACATTAAGACAACTAGCTCTGTACTTCAGATTTAAAAATAATCCATATACCTTCTAAGTAGAAGTTATTATATAGAAGCATTAGGTACGTTAATTTTCTAGATATATGCAGAATGACTTTGGACTCTAGTGTTAAACGGCCACAAAGAACTAAAGTTCAGTCAGTGCTTCCTCAGCTGGCCTTTCAGATTAAGTTATTACAGGGAGATGAAGGTTAAATACATACAAAAGGTGACAGTTTCACTTCAGCGCTTACATATTTGAGAGCTTTCAAGTGCTCTTGTATTTTTGGCTAACAAGAAATAGCAGGATGTTTTACGTTCTTTTACTAAGTTGGTAGATTTTTGTTCAACTATAGTAAAGTCTCTTAACAATACAGACCATTGCTGAATTAAAGATCATACATGCTGAGATAAATGCCTACAGCTAAGAAAACCAATTTCATAACCTACTTCCTTTCTCAACAGGAATAAAAGCTATAGAAGGATGCGAGTTGAATTAATCTCATTCAGCATTTCCAGTTTCCACGGGTAAGAATTATGAACGTGTTCCTCTCTGTTAAAGGAATAAAGGAAGAATGTGTTGAGACTTAGGGCACCACTCTGAGCTATCTACAGACTTGAGTTCTGATTCCCAAGCACTGCAGAGGCCACTTTCTCTGAAAGGCTTATCTGAGCATCATAGCTGGAGGTCTCCTGGTAATCATACCTGTCAAGAGGATATTGCCCATGCTTCAACAAGGAAACCTAAAAAAGCCTGAAAGAGTGATCAGGCTTTTGTAAATAGGCCAATGAGTTCAGACCTAACAGTCCTATGAAAAATAATCTATTCCAGTTTTCCAGTGAAAGTTAAGATGGAGACCTACTTATGGAGCCTAACGGTTGGAAAAAAAGTACCTAAGCCGTATAAACTGCAAGCCAGTGTCCATGATTTTTTTTAAACGGAAGTTGAAGTGAGAGTTTCCTTATTAACCAACAATCCAAGAACCAGAAAATAGGCTTCAAATACAATTATCCAGCTGTTATTAAGCAAATATAACATACTGACTTCCGGACTAAAGTGTGAAAATGGAAATCGGTGAAGAGTTAAGGCTACAGATAATCTTTAAAGAAAAGAAAAAAAAAGAAAAAAGGTCCCGAACTGGAAATATGGTGAACGAATCAGTGTGAGGCCAAAATACCTCTCAGTGAAATCCCCATTTTATTGCAACATGAAAGTTTTCGGCCAATGTTAAGTTTGCTAGGCTGCACTCTCCCCCCATGCATGTTTATGTATAAGGCACAGTAGACAGTAGGTCACTAT